TTTCTCTCACACAAAACCCCAACCAAATGCCAGCAGTCAGCGTGGAGTGAGTTGCGGCTATTTGAGTTGTTTTATTGTATCAGGTGTTTCTGCTTTTATAGTATTTTATACACATTTATTTCTCACTCTTCTCTTTGTTTTTAGCATTATTTCTATTTTTGCATCTTTAAAATCTGTCTAAAAATCTTTGCTAAAATAAAGAAATAAATATTCTTCTGCCAATGCAAGCATATCCTGCCTCTGTACTCTCTGGGGCTTAGCACCTCCCCTTCCTAGTCTTAACCTGAAAACCATTCTAGGAGTTGGTAACTCAGGTAACGCCTGTTTGCCCACGGGCTCCAGTGACAAACACGAACGATGGAGTGATTTCCCTTCAAACACTCACAGATTCTCTAAGGAACCAGGCACTCAGTATTATCACTGTGTTCCCTTTTCCCCCTCTTTCTGAAGAAGCACATTGCTTGGATGTACACATTTTTCCCCTGAGCCAGAGAGATACAGTGGGGATTACGTGCCACATCCTTCCTCCTCACTCACAGGACAGGTCCGATGCCTCAGACACAAACTGAGAACATGCACACACCGCAAAGGCCGTGCGATCCGAGGCTCACGCTCCCCACAACTGCAAAATAGGTTCAGTGCTTCTAGAATGGATCCAACAACTGCAGACTGTAAAATGGGAGCAGAAGGGGAAAAGAGCGCATTCTCAACACTCCTGTCAAGCCAAAGGCCACTGGGGAAAGAGGAGGAAGGGCACAACTGTGACCACAAGAGTGTTGGGAGGACGAGGCTATTGTGTTGCATAAAACACCTAGAAGGCCCAGGCTGGAGGACACTGGCGCAACCGGTACCGACGCCCGAAGAGAGCACCATCTCATTCTGCTGCGGGTACAATTCCAGACCACGTTTATGCGTCAATTTAACCACATTAGGGATCGCGCGCATGAAAGAAGTTGCTAATACTTGTACAAATAGTTGGTCTTCATACAGAAGGCGAGCTAACTTTCCAGGAATGCTGCTGGAAAGAGGATGCTTTCGGGAGGTGTCCCAAACCCAGCAGGGCGGCTGCTTGGCTACTTTGCAGCTGGCAGGAGTTCCAGAGATGGGGTGCTGTAGCACTCAAGGCACTTTTCTGAGTCTGCGATGGACATACTTCCAAAAGCCTGGGTTCCATCATCAGAGGGACTCCTGATGGGCAGGGGCTGCTGATTTCTTAATTATCCTGGCCCCGATTTATTCAGGGCCTCATAGATAAGTGCCCCTTCTCAGCAATTTTGTTTCTGCAGAGCGCTTAGAGCACTGACGGTCTTTCAGTGTCATGGGACCAGTCTTGTGAACCCACATTTCCGAGTGTGTGATTGAGAGACTGGACCCCTGATGGTCGTTCTGAACCAGAGCGGGATGGTGAGGAGATCGCCTGACCCCTTCCTGGCCTGCCCAGTTCAGCAGGCCCTGGGTTGCTTAAGCTAAAACTAAGCTGGCTGGACCAGGCAGCTGGGGCAGCTCCCTCCAAACAGGGATAACCCACTGAAGATAAGTTGCACCCCATGGCCAAACTGGAAGATGGCTTTGTCTGCCCACTGTGACTTCTGGACCAGCTTCAAAGACAGGGCCATGTAAAGCCCATTGCAAAAATCCAGTTTCAAGATTATCGGGGGTCTGGAACCACAACCAGCCAAAGTGATGCAGAAGGAGACAGCTGAGCTGCACCATTTCACATGGCATCAGCTGGACTGCAAGGAAGAACCAGGACGACTTTCTGCCTAGTGTGCACAGCCATTTTCTCCAAGCCAGGAGAATTCTCCCTCTCCTCCCAGAAAGGTACTGAGAAATATAATTCCCCCACATACCAACCTGCAGGCCAAATAACTCCCACCCTTACTTTTGTGGAACTTCCTGCATTTCTGGGGGTGAGGCATTAGTATTCGGGGCCCTCAACACCAGCAGCTTTGCTTGAGTTACCTTGGCCAAATAAGGGGAGACATGGAACAGATTCAAGATGACAAGCCTGGATGAGAAGAAGATGGAGTGGCAAACACCAATTTGGATGGCTTTACATCCCTGAAGAAGGAGAAAACCATCAGTGATTACTAGTCCCGAGGGCTCCACCCTTCCCCAGGATCAGAAGCAGTTGTAGGGGAACGCAGGCAGGATGTGATTTTCCCATGGGTAGCTGGTTGGCCATTGACCCAGCAAGACTCCCCTAAGGTTCTTGCGAGCAATTCCAGCAGGCATTTATCCGTAGCCTCTGGCTGAACTGTGGTCCCCAACCGGTATCTGACCTCAACTGTCCTTAGCGCCAGAGTTACAGAGTGCAGAGTTAAACTGGGGAATTCACTTCCACAAGATGCTACGACGATCACCAACTGGGATGATTTTAAAGGACTTTTAGAGAACTTCCTAGATGAGAAGACTATTGAGGGCTATTGGCCAGATGCTACCTCCAATGCAGGGGAAGCATGCCTGTGCGCACTGATTGCGGGAGGCATGGGCACAGGCGCAAGGGTCATGCCCTTGTGGGTGTCCCGAGGCATGTGGATCACAGGGTGAGCAGCACACGGGCCCGACGGATCCTTGCTCTAATCTAACATCAGGGCCCCTCTTACGTTCTAACTGCATGGCTGACCCGAACAGAGTCCAAAACCCACTGTCCAAGGCGGCCGATTCACTTGGGCTCATGGCTCCAGCACAAGGGCAGTCTTTAGCAGTGGGGTGCCCAGAATCAGAGGGCTGGCAGGAGCCCCCTTGGCCCAGTGAGAGGAAAGCTGGGGCAGATTCTGGGCAACACACATTCTGAGGCACCCGTAAACCCCCCTCCTCCTCCCAGCAGCACAGCAACAGGGCCTGGCTGTGATCTTGTGTTCTTCCTTCATCTCCCTTCCCAGTTTGCAGCTGTGGCTATAGCAACAGCTCATGAGCACCTGGGCCTGCCGCCACCCCATCTATTACCCGCCGTTATTTGTGAACGCTGTCCTGACCACTGCACACGAGCAGGGGCGCTGCGTGGCCTGAGCCCCGGATCTTTTGTCCAGAGTCCTGAGTGTTTGTTGCCACAGGCAGATGGAGGGCTTTTCCCCTCATCTTAACTGCCACACGTGGGAAAATTTTCAAGAGGAATTGCAGCTGGAGTGGGAAGAACTGATGCTCCCCTCCCCACACGCTACAGTGCCCCTCTCTCCAGTATCTCCCTTCACCTGTATGACAATTACTAGACCATGGAATGCTAATCTGCATGAAATGGAAATTCTATGCAGACTGGCATTCTGAAGGGCCCTGAATCCTTTAAGTGCCTTGCAATGCACCTGCCCTGAAGCGACCAACAGCGAGGTACAGACTGCTTTCTTTCAGCCAACAGGTGGGGCCAGCAAATGGTCCACAGTAGCAGAACAAGCGTACAGGAGGAGATTTTTTTGTGTTCACGGTACCGGCTGGATGAACCTGAGTTTCTGGAGGCTCTGTGTATGCAGGGTTCCCAGGTTTAGGAACTCAGTAAGTCCCCATTTTGTATGGGGTTGTACTCCTTGCAGGAGCAGTATATCGATTGGAAACATTCCTAGATTCACCTTTATCACTGGGGACACTGGTAGCCTCAGTGGTCCAGAGCGCTATTGGCCTGCCAGTGACAGCCATTCCCAGACAGAGGCAGGCCGGCCACAGAGGGTCGCACCCTTGCTGACTTCCCATTGGGACCACTGTGATTTTGCTCTACGCAGAAGGGGGTGCCCTTGAGAACGTCACAGACGCTGTGGCAGGTGCACAATGCCATGGTGAGCCTGTTGCCAGAAACAGCTTATCGCAGTGGGGAGGCAGCACTCTGGGTCCCTTGGGGACACCTGGCAATTCGGGAACCTGACCTGGGCCCCACCTCAAAGTGGCTGTCTTGGGAGATGTGGCCTAGTCACAAAGGACCAACAGCTTGCCTAAAAGACTGGGCTCAACACAGAGGTGGGGACTGAGCCTCAACATCCTGACCAGCTTTTTGAAACCGATCTCAGAGAAGGCAACCTCTCCTCAAGCCAAGCCACTCACAGCTGCCTGTGGGAGCATTTGCTGCTCTTCTAAAAAATATAAAAACCGAGAAGGAGGTCACTTGGCAGACTGCAAGAATCTGACTTCAACAAAGACAATGAGGCAGCAGCTTCTGGTGCACCTGAGGGCAACAAGCCAGCTTCAGAGGCTCAGGATGGGCGGGATGGCCCCAAACACGGCCTCCAGTTCCATGCCGTTGCTGCTTGCCAGCAACAGCATCTCACATTGTCTCATGACAGGGCTGACCCCGTATCTGATGAAGAGTTAGGAAGCTAGAAACTGATGACCTAGAGTGTTTATTTTAAAACCCCCCAACAATTCACAACCTCTGATTTCCTTCTACAGGTCAAGAAGGGTTTATTTTACACAAGCCATTGCCTGGTCTCTGATATGCATGGTTACCCTCCAGATGCCACATCTGTCTGCCTGTTGTCACAGATATAATGTTTAAATTTAAATTTTAAATTCTGCAAGCAAGCAACCCAAATTCCATCCCAATACTTCTGCGTGCCACAGAAATCCAGGAAACTGAGAATGTTTTCACAATCTCGTACTTCTGACTCTGTAGCAGCGATAAAAGCATGCTGGAACCTCTGAATTCAGAGCAAATAGATAAAAAAGATGGTTTGTAAAATCCAGTGGGGATACAGTGAAATGTCAAACTTCTTGCCCTTTCTCTGTGATTAACAAAAGCAGAATTATGCAAAATAGGAGTGGGGAAATTAAAAGCAAAAGAGGCAAAATGCAGGTTGCAAATCTCAGTTTTTCCTGGCAGGAAATTTGGACTTAAGTTGTTGGGATTCCCCCATTAACTCAGGATAACACAGCTTTCCCTGTGGAACAGCATTTCCCAACCTGCTGTCATCCCAAGCCACACGACTCCCAAACATGTTCCAGCCAGCAGAGCTGTAGCCCGACGGAAGGCTGCAAGAACGGCGACCGCCGCCACACAGCATCCCAAACTCACCAACCTTAAGCCATTGAAAAGCTGCTTGGATTTATCCAGGAGGTAACAGAAGTCTGTGACTGTCTTCCTCTCTCCCTGAGGAATGTCATCCTCCACACCGCCCGTCGACATGGTTTCCGTCAGGGCAAACTCGGTCCTAGGGAAGAGAAAGGGACAAAAATCAACATTAGCCATGGATGGCAGAAACCTCAGAACAAGCGCTGCAGCTGGGGCTCCGGCACGTAGAGTGTCACAGGGATGAGAAGGGGAAAGACACACTCTGCACACATAATCTCGCCCACCCCCTCTCCACCCCCAGAGGCCTCCTCAAATCCACAAGGAGGGGAGCGAAAGAGAGAGGAGAGGAGAGAAGGAAGTGACTAGCGTTTGTTGTTCTTTTCCTCCATTTGCTACCAAATCGCAAAAAATAGCTCGTTGGATTTATTTTTTGTTTTCTTTAGAAAAATAGATTTCAAAGTCTCTCTTTTAAAAAACACACCCGAGCGTCTTTCCTCCTGTGTAAACTCAAGATATGCAGCAATACGAAGTCAGAGCAGTTAGCTCAACCAACAAAGGGAAGCAGAGGCTCCCAGGAGCTCTTTCCATTTCTTTATTTTGTTGAAGTGTTTTTCTGCTGTTCGTTAGCCAGTGCAATTAAACAAGATGACTCTTGACTGCAGGCTCCCTCTCTAAGAGGACATGACATACAAGGAAAAAAGGATGGGGAGGGAAGAGGGGGAAGCAACCATTCTGTCCACAGGGTTGCCTGGATGGCCCTGTTCGTGCTCTCAGCTCCCTCCGCTGAAATGGCTCTGGGTGGAGTCTGCTAGGGGCTGTTTCAAGCGTGAACAAGGGCACTGCTGGAAACGCCCTTCCCTGCCCCATCCTTCTCATGGCAGCCCCCCTGGACCCCTGAAAATATTACACAGAGACAGGGGGCTTGCTGAATGGGGTGAGCTGTGGAGGAGAGAGCACTAAAAAACTGGGCAGAAGGGCTTTCAGTGAGTGGAATGTTTCCTCCTGGATCTAACCCGAGCTGTGGCCCATGGCGAGGTTACAAGCACAGGCGGGAAACATGAAGGGAAGATCGCATGTTTGCCTGCGACTTTTGCTCTGTGGCCGCAAGCCGTTCCTGAGGGCTTCCCAGCCATGAACATGGAAGGGCACCCAAGGACACCCCCCAGTCCTGCTCTAGAGCCGGGTCAAATCAAATCAAACTGAACCCTAATTCCATCCCTCAGGGCTACATTTAAATCTGGGGCGCTGGACCTCTTTTAGCCTGTGGGTCGAATTCTATTTCACAAATTTCCAAATGGACCAACAGGGCCAAAAGCTTTATTTATTTATTTAGACAGCTTATATGCCGCCCCCTTCGCATAAGCCTCGGGGTGGCTTACAATCATTAAAATCCCGTATATAAATACAAAAAAAAAAAACAAAAGCTTGCCTACTTCTGCAGTAGACCGAAGGCAGCACCGACTCCTTGGGCATGCCTGCGGTTGAAAAACAAACCAACCATGCTTTTTGCAGGCAATGAACACCAGGAGGACTTTTGCACTGAGCAGCGGTTCAGAGGACAGGTGCCATGGCAGCCACGGCCCCGTTACAAGCCAAGGCAGACCGCTGCAATCATGGATATTTGTTTATTTTAAAATTTTGCATCCCGATTTTTACAGGGTCTCAGCTCCAAGAGTGCATCTCTCAATAGGCACAGCAGCCAGACTGGCCAGCTGGGGATCTCTCCCGCATCGTGATCCAGAGTTGTTCAGAGCATGGTAAATAAGCAAGCACTACGTTAAATTTTGTTATGCAACAAGAACCACCAGGAATTTTATAGTATCTTTAAGACTTACTATTACATAGATTTACTATGGCAGAAGCACTCAGGGACACAACCCAGATCCCCAGATGCATTTGGCTCCTTTATTCTTCATTTATGCATTGTTTCTAAACTGCCCAATAACTAAAGCTCTCTGGGCAGTTCATAACTCAAAACTGGAACACACAATTTAAAAATTTAAGACTGAAGTAGAAGCTGAAAATCAAAACCAAAATAAAGCTTTGCATGCCTGAAGTGCTAATGTTAAATTGGCAGATCCATAGATACATCAGCAGGGTAGGGAAGAGCTTAAGAGGGACCCGCTAAGACCAGGGGTGAGTGATCTGTGTCCCTCTGGCAGGCTTGGTCTACCACCTGGCGATGCTGGCTAGTGAAGATGGGAGATGATGATGGCGAAACCGCTTGCGAGCGCCACTCCCGGCTTACACCAATGTTCCTGCATGACATGCTTCAGGCAGGCGTGGAGGTCACCCGTCCTCGCTCACGGGTCACATTTAATTATGCTTGAAGAGCCCCCCAATGATCACTGCTTGAGATCATGAGGGTCATTACAACATGTTTTGAGTAAGAATAACCAGTGATTTTACACCAGTCCCAAGGCTCTTAAATACACACACACTTCAGGCTGAGTGTTAAAAAATGAGGACCAATCTGCCCATTTATTATGTCCTTAAATGTGGTATTTGCCAACCCAAGGCCTCTACTTCCCTGTATTTCTCACCTTGAAAAATCCTGTTGAGATTCTCCCTACTGTCTACTATTCCAGCCATGCTTTGCAGATAAACACGGCGGTGTTCAGCATCTCCAACAAAAGCCTCTCTTGTCACTGCTTATTAAGACCTATCTGGTGTGACGGGTTCCTTCAGGCCACCCAGGCAGTGGGACCCACAGCTCGTCTCAGCCAGCGCTGGCTCACATAGGGATGCGCTGCACGTTTCCAGGAACGGGAGGTTGGTCCGGCGGGGCGGGGGGGGCAAGGGCCAAGGAACTGTTGCACAGGGATCCACTTACTCTGGGGTGCCACCCATCATGGACGGCGTGTGAGCGGGGAGCACGTGTGAGAACTGGACAGGAGTCTCTGGTCCGCCAGAGGAATGAGAGGCAGAGGCAGTTTTTCAGAGGAGGACAGGGCTGCTTTTTTCTAATTGCCTCTCGAGGAGAAGGCAGGGGGATGACATTTATCTACACCTGTGCTTGTCTCTCTTCCATTGTGTCCTGAGCCGCAGCTTGAGCCATGCAACCAGCCTGTGAGGGAGGCCGTGGCCCTGTGATAAATCTGGAAGTCCAGACACTGGTCACGGCCATCCCATGAGGGGAGTCCGGAAATCTAGGCAGCCACAGGGCAGCTGATAGTCGGTAGTTCCGTCTGAGGGTCAGGAAAAGAGCTGGAGCAAGCTCCAAGTTCTTCTTAGCCTGCCCAGCCCCTTCCATGGTTGATGCCTGCTGAAATCTCAGAAGCTCCATGGGATGGGGAGAAGTGCAGCTGTGAACATGAGGTGCAGCCCATCATCCTGAGAGTCCCCACAGCCACCCACTGAAGGAGAGTCCAAGCATTTTGACCCACATCAGTGGCAGCCATGTTGATGCAGAAAAACAAACCAATGCTAGCCGCTCTGCTGCTGGCAAGAGCAGGCCTTTGGGCAAGGGGCTTTGAGTTGCCTGTTCGAGACCAGACCAGCTGCACTGCAGTAGGGAGCCTATAGTTGACAGGAAAATCCATTCCTCCCTCAACTACTGTGAAGTTTGCAGCTAAGCTCAGAGGGAGCAGGGAAGGCAGGGCTGGGTGACAGACGGTGTCGGCATCAGCGCTAATACAATTATCCTGGTGCTGAAGGCTCAGACCAGGACTCCAACGCCTTGTGCAGGGCCTTGCACCGACCCACAGCCAGCCAGCCTGGAAACAACTGGGAGTAGGGAATCCTGCGAAAGGTGGCAGATAAGGCTAGAGGGGGAAAAAGCTGCATCCCTGCAAGCCCTGGCTTCACTGCACCACTGCAGGTAGCTAACCCAGACACAACAGAACATGGTCAAACAGATTTAAAGTGGATTTCCCCATGGCACAGACCTAGGTAACAGCAGGGAAGGAAGCTCAGGGGACAGCATCACTGGGGTGCTTTTTATCTGAGTGGAGCAGGATTATTCCCAGGTAGGAGTGGAAGAGCAAACCTAGGAGGACAGGTCCTCCTTCCCACCCCTGCTCCTGTGTGATCGGAGAGCAGGGTTTGGTCTTCCGGGGCACTCTCTTTACCTGCTCCTCAGGCCTGCTGCTCATGTCAGCATTTGGGGTAAGGACAGCTGATTAATACCGGTGCCTGGCCTTCCATCTGTAACTCAACTGCAGCCTTTTGATAAAATGTCTTCTATTATTACATTCATAGCTCACCTTCTTTCCTCTTGTGAGTAGCCCAAGGCAGATCTCACAAGGCAGTTTTCTTCTCTGATGTGAAAAAGAAGGAAACCCTGTGAGAATGGCTATAGAGACAGTATGTGACAAGCCCAAAAACCACCTGGCGAGCTCCTTGGCCCACTGGGGAACCTGAGTTTCCCAAGTCCCAGTCTCACCACTGCCACCCTCCAACACACTGGCCTGGCTTGCATGCAACAACAGCCCAAGGATGGGTTGAATTTGGAGTGCTGTTGGATTGTGGGTGGTCATTTCATTTGAACCCAGAGCAATGGTTTAACTGCAGGTGGTTAAACCAGAGTTTGCTGGCTCTGTTTCTGAAAACAGTAGCACAAATTGGCTACAATGCATCAACTCAAGTTTCCCCAGACATACATGTTCAGTTCTGAGACTAAAAATAAATTCAAGGAGGGTGAGGGGCCATTAGCATTACCAAGCAAACGTGTTTGCATAACGGGAGTTGTATCTGCAGCACTGTCACACAATGTGGACAGGTGGGAGTAGAGGGTCTAAGCAAAGAACTCCAAGATGAAATAAGCACGCAACAAAGGTGGTGTGAACGAGCTGCTGGGAGAGGAAACAGATGGCGAGATGGCGAGGCAGACAAAACAGTCAGGGTGGGGAATGATGCAGGGGAAAATGAGGAAACAGAAAATGCCAGCTTCCTTGCTCAGACAGAAAAGCAAGTCGGGCGGGGTGGGGGGAGAGAAGCAGACATACAAAGCAGGCTAAAAATATCCATTCAGAGAAGGGAAAAATGGAGCAACTGGAAAGAGGATAAAGTCCAAAAAGGAATGGTGGACCAAAAAAAAAAAAAAAGGCTTTTGTAAGGAGATGCCTTCAGTGATTTAAATGCAGACACACAGATGTGGCCCAAAAATGCCGAATTCTGCCTCCTGGATTAATCTTATTTTAAAGTATATGTGGCACAATTCTTTATGATACCACTGGTCACAAGGTAAGGGCAAGCAATAGAGTTGTTGTCTTTCAACTGGGCCAATTATGGCATGCCATTTGAGCCAAAGGACCTATAACACCCATCATCCTTTGTTCCTACTGGCTGTGCTGGCTAGCATAGGTAGGAGCAGTAGGCTAGGCACCCTGGAGGGGCACAGTTGGTTACCAGCCTGCTGGGAGCGTGGAACAATCCCCGAATGGGGCCTCGTTCCTGAGCTATGGGGCGGCAAGTGACGAAATGGAGAGGCGCCTACTTTGGGAGGGCAACTCCTTTCCTTTGATAACAAGGGCGAGACAGCACACCAGCTAAACGCTGCCACTTCCTTTCCTTTTCTCCTGAAAAGGGCCTTACTTAATGCTTCTGTCAATTAAAAATGTTAAGAGGCTTAAAATAATAGTAGTCGTTGCAGTAGTAATAACAAGAATACAGAACCACCCACTCGGACACGCAGGGCTGGCTGCACGGCAAATGCAGCTGCAGCCTGAACCTGCTTGGCACAACCACAGCCTCGTCACGTGGTTTTCTGTAAGTCACGCAACCGGCCTCGGAACCATTACAAGGATGGGAGAAAAATAACCTGAAGCACTTCATCATTTCCAGGCTACGAGAGAGCAATAGTCACACGTGGTGGGGGACTGCAGAGCAGAGACGCACACAGCATCCTCAAGAGGGGCCTGGCGGGACAGCCAGGGGCTCTAGGTTTCAGGGAGGGGGTCCTTAGCCAATGAGCCCCTTCCCTGGGTGAAGGGGTCCAGATTTAAGAGAGATGAATCCCACTGATTCAGGGGGACATCTCTGCATCTCTTCTCATGGCAGCCCCTCCAGCCCTTTAAGAATGCTTATGTGAGCGTCAAGAAGCCCTACTGATTGGGGTACATTTAGGTGCAGAGGTGGGGTTGCCAACAATTGAGCGAGGGTGGGGGGTGTTCCTCTGGCACAGCAACCCTTCTTCTGATGGAAGGCAGACGTTGCATCCAGACAAGGACAGTGAGCTAGAAAGGATGCCTCTTACCCACAACAATTAAACATTAAGCATCTGATGGTATCACACCATCTCTAGGATGGGGGGAAGGGAAGCAGATGAACCCTTAAATAATAGTAATATTTTTCTGCCTTTTTCCTCTAAGGAACTCAAGGCGACTAAGATGATTCCCCATCTTCACATTTTATCCATACAACAACCCTGTGAGGTAGGTTGGGCTGAACGTCCGTGACTGGCCCAAGAGTCACCACGGAGCTTCATGGCCAAGCAGTGACGAGAACTCCCCACTCCCAAGCCTCAGCCCAGCACTCTAGCTCACCACGACACCACGCTGGCTCTCAAGAAGAGGACGATGACCACAGTCTAGTTAGCTTTTTGCTTTGTTTTCTTGTTTTAAAATGAAATATAATCTCCCATGCGACTTCGTTCCAAGTAATCCTTCAGCATCAACCTGTTCCCAAGACAATATGCTGAACAGCAAGCAAAGAGGGAGATTCACTCCAAGAACAAATTCTGCTGTCATCAGATGACGGCCAGGAATCGCGCAGACAAATGTGTGTTTGTGTCTGAGTCTACTGCGGAAGAAGCCAGAAACAGCAGCACCAAGAAAGTAATGGGGAAAAACAGAAGGGCGACCAAGCATCAGGCACCCCAGAGGCCCAAAATGTTGCGGTAGGGACCGTGCAAGTCCCCCTTTCACAAACCTCCATAGGGCGAGATCAACACAGGCTGTTCATCTAAGCGGAACAGATTTCCCTCCATGGGCAGGAAACTCCAGGACCTCATTTCTCACCCACCTGCAACATGTTCCCCTGAGGAGATAGGTTTACTTACAGATCAGCAGCTGTCCCTACAGCTACCTGGTTGCCCAATCCCTGGTAATGAGCACTGCACCTTCTCGGGTTTCATGCTTCACATGCCCCCCCCCCAGGTGTTTTTCAGGGCAGTGAGATGACTGGAATGCCAGCCAGGAAAACAAGCAACACAATTAAAAAATGGGAGACCTAGAAGGGACCCTGCAGGCCACCTAGTCTGGCCCTCTGCCAGTGCAGGAAGTCCAGGGACCCAAAAGCTGGCTGCCCAGGTGCCTAGCTGGATCGTAACTCTCTGCTCATGACTTTGGTTTCTCTAGCTGAGGAGTACAGAAGCTCCTGGAGGCCAAATGCAGCCCTATCGTGGTTCCCCATTTCCCTAACCACGAACTGTTTGGAGATTTCCCAGCTTCTGTGCAATTTTTCTGCTTTAAGATGAGACGGGCCTCTGATGTTGCTACACTTTGTTCCTGGAAAAAGGAGCTTTAAGGTAAAGCAGAATGGTGCTTTTTGGCTCCACCTCTTTTGTCTGGTTCCCCCTTTAGCTCCAGCCATCACTGGAAGCCGGCTCCTGAGAGTGCCTCTAAAATTCAACCCTTAGGCTGAAAGAGGTTCCCCACATCCAGGCTGTGCTGGGGAAAAAGCCCGGCCCACTGTTGCCCCATTGCTAATGGGTGAACAAGTTCCCAGTTTGGCTTCCATGTCAGTCACTTCTAAACTGGATTACACAGGGAGGTAAACCACCTGGGCTCTTTAGCCATGTTCAGGCCAGAAAGCTTGGCAGGCTCCGTGCCGCAGGCAATGAGAAAGGCCTCGTCTGACTTGACCGATGGCAGAAAGCACACGGCTGGATGTTTAAAAATAGCAGTACCTATATCAAAGGAAACCTTGCAGAAGAAGGAAGGAAGGAAGGAAGGAAGGAAGGAGGGAAGGAGGGAAGGAGGGAAGGAGGGAAGGAGGGAAGGAGGGAAGGAGGGAAGGCAGGCAAGCCCAGTTCCTCTCTCCCTGCATGCTCCCAGCCAGCAACTTTCTTGAAGGCGCCAATCAAAGCTGCACTGCCATTTCCACTTGTGAGGGCAAAGCCTCCTTTTCACACGTCCAACCAGGATGAGCAATCAGTGCCGTCAGTGCAAGCGACGCACCAACAGCTCCCATTTATGCCGTCTAGTGAGGAGCAGCCACCCTTTCAAAGCAGCAAAGGAGGAAGTGGGTGACAGAGAAGAGGTCCGAGCTGGTTGCACTCCGAGGGCCTCGAAACCGGAACTGGATTCCAGGCACTGCCAGCTTCAAATTCCGGAGGGCCTTTTGGGCAAGACACCCTCCAAGAGCCCCCCGGGAGTCCACCATCCATGCCACCAGCTGCTCTGGCTCCCCATTTCCTTCCCCACCGTTGCAGCCACTCGCTTGCCTGATAGGCGGAGCAGGGGGAGCGAGCGGGAGGTCAGCCTCTCCCCCTCCCCCTCCCCACCTGCATGGCCTGAGCCAGAGTGAGAGGCAGGTGAGTGAGACGGCAGCAACTCCAGGGCTCTGGCCAGTGGGCCCTCGCTATGGTGGGAGCCCTTGGCAGTTGCCCAACCACACCTATTTTGGGTGCCAGCCCTGAATAGATGACTCTGAAATGAAGACAGGGCAAACCAGGGGCACTTGCACTAATCTGGATTAGCTAACATGCAGCAGAGTATTTGCGCATTAGCACCAGTACGCATCTGTTACTGCAAATTAGTGCAAACCCTCACCATCAAGTGTGAAAAAATGGTCCACAGGTGTGCAGAAAGCACGTGATTGGGAAAAAGCTAGCCCTCTGCACAAACCCAAGCTCATTCAAATCAGTTGCAGGTCCCCTGGCTTCCCTACACCTAACTGATCATCACGAACCGTGGTTACACCTTTCCACACAGCCCTCTTTTTCCTAACCTGGAAAGACACCAAATGCCTCTGTGTTTCTGCACAGGGGAAAGCTCCCAGCCCCTGGGCCATTGCAACTGTACCTCACACAGAGAGGCTGCTTAAGTCGGTCCTCTCCAAACTGGCGCCCTCTGGCTGAGGTATGCCCGGAGTTGTAGTCCAACACAACTGAGGGACACCAGGTTGGGGAGAGCAGGCTTAAAAGTACACACACATGCAGCAGGTCGCAAGGACGCCCACGGCAAAGTCAGAGAGCAGCCTGCAGAGTGCTGCTCCAGCCCACCAAAGCCTCAGCGCTGTTTTCTTTGTCCTCCAGGCGGTTGTTTCACAACGGCCCATTTTTTCTTTTAAAGTGGAACCACTTGTAGTAGAAAGGGGTATTTGGTATATCACTTGCTGAATTTGGTACTTTTAAAAAATGTCAGTCTAATTAGATGGTAAATTATTTCTCCCAGTATTGCCCAAGCTCTGGACAAGAATGAAGTTCTTGTGACCCTGGGAACTGATCGATGTGACCTGCTAAGGCTTCTGCTAAAATGAGTCTCCCCCCCCCACTTCTCTCTCTCTCTCTCCCTCCTCTCTCTCCTCTCTCTCTCTCTCTCTCTCTCTCTCTTTCTATATATATATTCATTCATTCATTCATTCATTCATTATTTTTAGGCTCTGGCAGTTTCAATTACTTTGCTTCCGGCCCTGTCGCTTAATAGCCTGGCAAGCAGTCTTGCAGGACAGAATGGCAGCTGCAAAATGCTGAAGGGACGACCGGGAAAAGATCTGATGGAAGGATGAGCCACTTCCCCAAGGCAGCTCCTGGAAGACCTGCAAATAGTTCCACCTCACTTTGGCAAGGTCTCAGGGAGGGAGTACAGCTGAGAGGCGGGTGAGGCGCTTGCCTGCATGTGGCCTTGGGTTCAGGACCTCCGCCTGCGCCACTGCCAGCTGGAATTGAGCAGAAGGTAAATTCAGACCTACGGACAGGAGATTTCTACTGGACTGGTGAATTCTCAGTGTGCGATGTGGTCGCAATAATACTAACAGTAGCAGTATTGGCAGTGTACTCATGACCATTGCTTTCATCTTCTCATTTACTGATTGGATTGTTTCCCCCTTCAAGGAGCCCCAGGTATCATATGGGATCCTCCTCTTCTCCCTACCAATGTGTGCTGCCACATCCAACCCTGAACGCAAAACCAGGACTCTGTGACAGGCCTGACCCAGTCCCTGCGTGCCTCGGGCCTCGGCTGCATGCTGACAAGCAGGAAGAGGATTTCAGGAAAGGCTCACCAGTGCTCTTTTCTGCCTGAAGGTTTTTCCCAAGGCGGCTCACGGTTAGTCCTTCACTGAGCTCTGCAGATCACGGATGGCACACGGCAATGCAGATTCTTGCAGGAAATGCACACAGACTTTTATATGAGCCAGAGGTTTCCAAGCCCTGTCCTAGGGAGGCACCCTCTGGAAGAGAAGGCTTTCCTAGAAGACAGCTTCTCGCAATCCGTCCCTCAGAACCCTTCTCGCTCTGCAGGAGAGGAGTGCTGGGTGCACTGCAGACCACACTCTGTCCACAAGGACGACACAAAGCCCAGCAGAGCACGGCCCACCCTCTCATGAACCAGGGTGAAGTGACGGGACAAGGAGGGGAGCAAATGGCATGCCCAGTCAGAAGGCATCTCCACCACTTCCCTGCTGCCCCCACGGGCGAGCTGGAGAGCCCTGCCAGCTGTTTGCTCACCATGGCATTTGCCGCAGCAAGAAAGAGGCTGGCCGAGCTCTCTGGAACAGCTGCTCACCCCCTGCTTCCCTTGCCGTGCAAGAGACCTTGGACTGGGGTTGACCTGGAGGGTACCCTATGTGAACAGAATGCCTGCCCTAAAGATGCCTCCAAATCCATCAAGAAACCCATGGACCCCATAGCAGACAAGAGCATGCCATGGGGTCCACGGCAGGGTTTCCTGAAGAGACTCAAGGGGAGCCTCTGGGAAGATCTGAAGTGTGCCTGTGCAAGAGCCTGAGCCAAAGAGCAATGCCGGGCCAGTTGCGAAAAGCAGTGCACGTGAGGCGACAGAAATCAGAGAGCCATGGACGAGGGGAATAAAACAAAACCCTTTGTTATTTTTAGCAGGTAACAGCAGCCAAGTGCGGGTGGTTAGAGGCAAACAGCAGTGCCCGATTAAGACTGCAAGAACAAGGCTGGGTCCTTTGTGAATATTTTCTGAGAAATAAGTAGCTATTCATTCTATTCATCTTCGACGGCTGCTCCTTCCGCTTTTTGTTCGCTTTGACAGCCGCGCTTTCTCTCGCTTTGGACAGGCATTATAGAAAGGTGTGCACAGTGTGTGCAGGGGAAGGAAGGAGATAGTGACGGTGGTTGTGTGCCCAGCACACCTGCAGAGGCGACACAATTTGGTCTGCAAAAGATGTGAAAGGGCTCTCTCCCCCTTGCAGCATTTCCACTTCCTAAAAAGGGTAGCAGGAAACCAAGGGGAATTTGCTTGGAAAGGGTGGGACTGCAGCAATTTGCAAACCATGCTTCTTTCAGCCAGGGATGCTGGTTCACTGTTCAGCAACAATTACAGCATGCATGACACCAACTTTCAAAGTACACATGACATGACGTGACTGCACATTCATGAATGCTCACTTTGGGCTGCAGAAGGTAGTCCAAAATAACACGCCCCCCCCCCCGCAAAAAACCTGAACACCAATTTGGGGTAGGAACACAATTCTCCACCACTCAGCTGTTTTGCTCGCTAAAAGCACTCTTCTCAACAGCTTTTTCTCTTGCAGGACTCCAGATCCACGCACTTGGTAAAGCACGGAAACAATTCCTTTTTCAACCCAAGGGCCAATTCCATTTCAGAGAAATTCTTGAGGGCTGCACTGCAGTGCTGGGCAGAACAAAAGGCAAAAAGGACAGAGCCAAGGAACAACGAAAGAAAACACAGCCTATCTGCATGGAAAGCCCTTAACTGCTGGGGAAGCCATCTTAGGAGAGGCATGTCAGTCTCTCAGAATACAGAAAAACGTCACAAAAGCCCGAAGGCCGGCAAACAATTGGTGTCTCAGGGAAGGGGCAAGGTCTGGGGATGTGGCCATGACGGCAGTGCCGAATGGCTGCCCGGGACCCCGGGCCTGAGGATCTCCACACCTGTTGTACACGCACGGCACCAGGCAGGCACTTTCGCAGCCCTGGCATGCTAAGGACGAGTAAGGCACAGAACCGAGGAGCAGGTTACGCAGAGAGAAGTGACTGGTTGGAGGGCGGGTATTTGCCGAGCGGTGCGTGAAGTCCTCCTCCCCATGGTGCCTCCCAAGAGTCCCTCCCCCCCCACACACACTCCCTTCTGCAAGCGCATAGCTGCTCGGCACCACTGCGGGGAGGGGGGCCAAAGAGACCGCTGCGCGTGGATCAGGATGCGGCAAGAGCCAGGTCAGCTCACCGCCAGGTAGAGCGGAAGGTGCAGATTCGACCGGGGGCACGTGAGGAGGGGCTCTTGCAGTACACAGGTGCCCATGGACACCTCTACTAATGCCTGCTGGAAGCCACCCCCCCCCCCCCCGTTCTTCATTTAACTTCTTTTTTGCAACTGTGCAAATAACCGGGGAGCCTGACACACTGCGACCCAAAGTGCTGCCCTCTAGCGTCATCTTGCTTTGGGCTCCAGGGAGTGCTCTGGAGGTTTCGGCGCTCAGCCCCTGCCTCCGCAGTGGTCTTAGCTGCTTGGGGGCCTGGCCTTTCTTTCTGTCTCACTCCCGGCCCTTCTGCGAGCAGCCATGCCTGCCATGGCGGCTATTCCGAGCAGGCAAGCCACCGGTGGCAGCCATGTTCTCCGAGCACCCACTGCACTTTCTCAGAATTCCAGGTATGCCTACCAGCCCCCAAGTTGGAGGACCCCTGACTCACTGGCCTTCTCCTTGCAGCCCTCGAACTTCCAGCCCTCCCCAGAGATGGTTTGGCAACGACTGCAACTTGTTTGCCATCAATCCGAGTCTGGTCCGTCAGCAATGCCTGATGTTGCTCATGGTTTGTTTGCTTCTGCCTTCCAGTTCCAAAGGAAAGGGAGCATTTCCAGTACCTGGACCACACTATCCGCTGGACTAATGCCTGCCAAAAAGTACCGGGCCCTATGTCTATCCCAGGGGCTTCAAGAAATGTAACTGCAACTCCCTCTCCCCAGAGAACCTGGGAGCTACAGCTCAGGGAAAGGAGAGGAACCCTACAGGTCCTCACTGCAAACTACTTTCCACCCCGAGGGAAGCCATGCGGGCGTAAGACACAAAGCAAGTTCACGGCAAAGCTGTGCCTTACAAGTGAAGACAGCAACCCTCCTTCGTCCAAGAGCCAGATTCAATTTTGAAATACTGTCAGGGGCAACATTCCAGTGGTGGGAGCAATTCTGGATGCAAAGGGAGTGCAGCCAAAGGCCAAAGGGACGGAGTCAAAACAACCAAACCAAACCAAACCAAAGATCACCCGCCTCTTTTAGTTCAAACCTCTGACTGCCAGCCACACAGCCTTTGCAGAGGCGTTTCAATCATTTGGAACAGGGGAAATCGCCAAATGACCTGTAGGCAAGGAAAAGGCGCTGGGCCCATCTGG